CTATAACAGATATATATCACCATAAAAAATAAATGTTAAAATTAAAGCCTAAAGCCTTATTTTCCTTTATTAACACTTATATAAGATAACAGCTCTTGCGTATTCATGTAACAGGTAACATATTTGCATATGATGTTTATTTCTTACCATATAGCCCGTCGTTTAACGACGGGCTCCAATACTAGTTTCATATTAAAATATGTCAAAGTTTCAGCATCATCCCAATATTTATTAACAGCCATCCAAATTTGTTCAATAAACCCGATCTAGTATTAAAACTTATTCACTACATACCCATACAATGAATAATAATACAGTAACTGCCTGACCTTTAGTTAAGCATAGATTAGTTCGGTTCAGCAGGGATATTATATAGTCTGTTCTAAACTGATAAACACAGTCAGTCCTAAAACCAGCTTAAAACTGAAAAAAAATAATTTGCTTTTAATTTTATGACCTGACCAACTAAGACTAGTCCGGATCAGTTAATTCTTTTAACTTTGAACTATTAAAAGTAAACTAGAACAGGGGACTAAAAAGGCCAGGTTGAACCAGACAGGGCTGGTAACATCCTATGGTTTAATCAACTCTAATCCCTGATAAGACCAGTTTATTAATATTTTAACTCTAACCTTGGTCCGGTCTTAGTTCTAAAACAGTTCTTAGATATATGCAATTATCTCTTTCTAAACCAAAGCTGAACAACCGAACACCCGAACACTAATAAACTTTGTGGGAACAAAACACAAAGCTTTAAACTATTTATAAAATTTTATTAGTAAATTCGGCTGATAGATATAATGAACCTTTAAACCGAACTTTTGAAAATTTTAAGAAAGGTTCAGTATAAGCAGAGTTGACTTTATTTAAAATACAATCATTTATTGTTAAACCATATAATATTAAGGTGACCAATATCTAATGAGATCAAACATATGTTGAATCTCATTTGTTTTATTGATGCAGTTTTTATATTAAATGATTGGTAAACAATTTTTACTGAAAGTCGATTTAACGGTGAGTGGGTTCGCAAATTTAATAGAATGTTCACGTAATTTCAACAGCGGGTCCATAATTTTAATAGTATATAGATTCGTGATTTATCGTGGTTTGCAAAATAGCATCTCTGATTAAATTTATAATTATGCTAATATTATAACTGTATTGCCGATTGATGATCTTGAATATAGGTGTGGCAAGCAAAAGTTATGAAAAATACTATATTGATATTGAATTCTTTATTTAAAAAAAATAAACATTTTCTAGAATATTTATTAATACATATCTATGCTATATCGTTCTTTAACTTTTTTTATACAGTATCACTAAGCAGTATATGACAACGTTGTTCAGAGTGAAGCGGTGCTCCAGAACTCAACAGATCCCGTTTTTCTAGTATAATTTAATACTATCCCTAGTGCATTTTATGTAATACTGATAAAAAATTTTGCAAAGTGAATAGTGTATAATTTTATTAATTTGTTAAATTTTATAAATTCTATTATGATTTCTTATGAATTTGAAACACTTCATATTCATTGACTAAAGAAAGTGCACAATTATTAATTTGTTTTTCATATGTATGACGTTGACAACGACAAACATTATTTTGATCATTAAATTGTTGTACATCGTAATCACTAAACATACGAAGATCAGATGTACCAAAGTTCGCACCACGATCAGTATTAAAATATAAAGCATATTGTGGCATTTGTACACGACTTAAAGTAGAATTTCTTGTAGTACCATGTTTCAAAGAAAAAACAAAGCTTTCTCGACAATTAACGTATTTCCCAGCAAGAGAACTATTCCAGGCAATCGGATTATATCCACCAATTATTCTTTCAATATTATCAGTACCTTTAACATTCAAAACAATAACAGTATTTGCTTGCATATTACATAAATTCCAAAAAGTTTCTGAAGTAAATCCATCTCTACTTCCACGAAGAAGTAATTTAAATTCGTATGGATTATTTGTTGTATTACTGTATAATAAGTGGGTTTTTTTATCAATCCATGATGATATTTCCGCAACATGTTCTTCATTGATAACAGTCGAAGAAAAAGTTTCTACTGATCTAACAGGTAAAACTGGTACTGAAATAATACGGGGTGGTAAAACTGTTGATGAAATTCGATGATTTGGTAACATGTGTTTTTTTAAAATATCATTCCAAAGATTTTTTCCAAGAATTTGAGAATATGGTAGTACATGAGTTACAACATCAGCACTGGAGATTTGAAAGTAACGAATAAGAGGTAAACAATTTCGTAAAATAGATTTTAAAGTCTTAAAATCTTCATCAGACCAATCATTAAAATCATCTGATAGATTTTGATTTTGAGCAAGTCCCCATTCAATAATGTAATTCCAAATTTTAATCTCTTCCATTTGTAAATCATCACGTCTAATAAGTGAAACTAATGCTTCTTCTTTAAGAGCGGTGAAATCTTCAGATTTAAAAACGAGATTTGGATATTTTGTTACAATATTATTACACCAATTTTGTAATTCTTTAAGTTTATTGTTTTGAAAACTTGTTTTATAAACGTAAGCAAAATGTGAACGTAACCAACGAGCGTTTGATTCTATTAAATAAGCTTCAAGGTCTTCCATTAAATCTTCTAAAAGAAATTCATCAGCGGCTTGGATGAGATCAAAAATAAACTGAGCATCAAGATTTTCTAAAGAAATAAACCCGCCGTAGATATACCTATTTATTAGTTATTAATGTTAACGTTAATGTTAAAAATCTATATGATATCTTTAATAATAAACAATGAAAAATAAGAATAGCGATAGTATAACTTACTTGATAATAATTTCAAATTGCTTGACAGAAATGTGTAGTTTTAAATCGATCCTTGAAATACTGTCTCTATCTTTGTTAACATTTAATAATTCATCATGAAAATACGGACATCTACACCTTAAAATAATCGAATGTGCTTTAAATTCTTTTGTGTCTGGAGATGTTCCAACTTTAATGATCACATTAAATTCTTCTTCACTTTCAAGAAGTTTAACGTAATGATTTGAAATTTTTTCCAAATGTTTAATCGACATTTTATTTATTATAAGTTGAGATTGTTGAGATTCGTTTTTTTCTTTTTTTACATTTACATGTATTAAATAGAAGAAGTTCTGTAGTACAAATGTTTCAAAATGCATATTGTACATCTTTTATGCTTAAGGCCTTTTATTGTTATCCCTAATATGCCGTTCAAGTTAATTTAGTGTTTCATGCTTGTTATCTAGTTTGCAATATTATTATTACTATTATTACAAGGCAATCACCGGAAATCCGGTTAGAATTTCGATACGTAACGTCTATAACAAAAATACCAGCCGATCTTGTGTTTTTCGATAAAAGATGCTAATTTCGCCCATCTGACTACGATTGTAATGAATTTTGACCATTCCTGCATGATCTTATCAGTCACATTAATGTTCTGAACAGTCCAGATCAGCAAACCTTAAACTAGCCTATTTAAACTAGATTCTTGACATGCAAAAATAAAATACAATATGATTTTATTGTTGGTTATTATTTAGGTCTCAAAGATTATATGTCGCATAGTTTCTAAACAGCCCCTATACTTGGTAAGGCGAATGCTAATCGACCGAGACTTGTACACACAAGCAAGAATACCAACGGAAGGGTGGGGTGGCATTTCGACGGGGTCACGTGAATGTACGATTGGGCAGCATTACGATAGGGTCGATAGTGTCGGGTAGCGTTATCGAGGTCACATGTCACGTAAACGTCGATCGACGTAACAATGCAATGTAATTAAATGTCAATTAAAAGTTTATTAAAGTATAGGATGCATAGGTGATGTAATCAGATAGAGAACAATATAAATAGTAGAAATAAATAAAGAATTATAGTTAGAAAAATTGGTATTGAGAAAAACTGTAGTGCGAAGAAAATATAGCGACTTACCAGTGAAAGCGTTAGTATTTCAGTATAGGGAAAATAGGATAAAATACATTTGAGCTAGATAGCAGAATCCTAATACTGTATAAGATAATATGTAAAACTATTTTGTAGTCAAGAATAAGGAAATGATCGTAGAAATAATGTACCTGGGTGTAGAGATACGAAAATATTATTTCGATTTTGAATGAAACATTTCGATTAATTTAGGTAAAATTTTCGATTTATTGTGACATTTTAAGTTATTATAAACAAAATGTTCGATTTATTCCAAAAATTAGGGATGTAGCTCAGTGTTGGGATTTAGATTAAGTTTATTATATTTTTTAAAACTAGTTTCAAACTTATTGGGTTCTTTGATCATGGTGATCAAACTGTTTGCTTAAACATCCGTCAAATCATTAATTACAAACTTCTAAGGTTCTTAATACTTATTTGGAATATAATATTATTTTTTTATTTTTTTTATTTTTTCAAGTTTATTTTTATTTACATTTATTATTTGTAATTTTTTTCATATCTTTTATTTATATTGCAAAAAAATAAGGTTAAGCCTTTTTATTTAAAATATTAAAACAGATCTCATTTTATTTAAAATATTAAAATAGATCTCATTTTCTTTAAAAAAACTCATTTAGCAATTATTTATATAAATTAGTTCTTTGATTTAATTCAGCTTTTACCTTTTTTTTAAAAAAAGTGAACATTTAAAATCATATTTGTATTGATAGCCAATCAAATCGTAAAAAAAAACCAAATTTATTTCGTCAATAAAAAATACATAATTTTACCAAATAAGGAAATTTAAAAATGGTTGATAATATTGATTTTTAGTTACACTGACACTTTCCCCTTGCATATGTGCAACATTCAATATATCGATATTCGTGTAATGTTTGTTTTGGCAAATTTCTGCATTGCAGATAATTTATTACAGTTACACTTGCGTACAAGAGAATTAATGTAGTACAAATATTATATCTACGTAACAGTCTTTGTAGCGAGAAAGGAATTAGATATTAAAAACATATAAAAGTTCAGTAATTAAATATTTTAATAAGGAGTATTGCTGCCAGGCATTTCTATGATTGCATGATGTGTTCTTCTTTTGTTATAAAAGTAAAAAAATCCAAAAAGACCTAACATACCAACAACTAAAACACCAGCAGCAACGCCAACACCAACAAACAATTTATTATCGGATGAAGAGTTTTGCTGATTTGAATCACTTGCTGGAGTATTTGATTGACTTGATGAAGGTTTGAATGCGTTTGTTGGATTAGGATTGAATGCGTTTGTTGGATAATTCGATTGACTTGTTACCGAAGGACTTAGTTTTAATGAAATAGAAAGATAGTAGTCTACATTATTTGGATTAGCGAATCCAATACCGTGTCACTTTTAAGACTTGAATTAAGATATCTTATTGACGGACACAAAAGACAAGAGTCAACAGTGACTGATTTAGAGGTAGTCAGTAAATACACAAATCCGTGATTATCAGTGGTGGACGTCGAATTTCCAATAGTAGATTGGCTCTTAATCGTTGTATCTGGCGCCGTAACAGTCCCAATAAGTGAATAACTTACAGTAAGATCTTTAAAGATAAGAGGAAGAAATTTGAATGAGCCAACTATAACAACATTTTATTTGATATAAATCATCTCTTACCAATATATGTAATCGTTGCTGTAGTGGATCCTACCCACATACCACCATTTTTTGGTAGCAATACCGTAAATGTCGATTCGACAAATACATAGATCTATAACAATATTAAAATGATACCAACTTGTTTAATTAATTCATTCTTTTAACAATGCTTTTTTTTTTTAATGCTTGCTTCCTTTTTATTTTTACCTGCAATGAAAAAGCGACGAAAAGAAATAAATTGAATTTCATTTTTGTTAATGTGTTTTCATGATTTAAAATTATAAATACGTATTGAAATTCAATTTTAATGTAAGACAAGTACGTAGTACATTTGTTTTTGTATGTATGTATGCCAAATACTATTTATGTACTGTACGTACTACGTTCATACAGTCGGACTTCTCTAATGCAATCCCCTAAATGTGGCGCCTCTCGAAATGCAATCATTAGCTATGTCCCACATATATAGAGTCTCCATAAATACAAATTGTCAAGAGTTAAGTCTCTGTAAATGGTGTTTAGGAAGTCTGATTGTAAGTACGTATGTACAAACATAATGATAGTGCACATGGCATAGAAACCATTGCAGATTTGCTGAAAGTATTATCATGTATAAGGAGATATACATGTATGGAGACGTTAAAAGTCCTGCTCGAGACGATTCAGCTCCAAAGTCATGGAAGGTCGATCGGAAGTTCGGCATAGAAATCAAGGGTTTAATGAGATCCAACTAGTCCTATCAGTGTTGGAACAATCTTGGAAGCAAATAACATATGGGCAGGTGATGAAAAAAGGGCCCAAATTGACAAACAAAAAGATCTTCGGAAAATCAATTTTTATGTTACAAATTTTATAATAAATTATAAGAAAATATAAACTTTAAAGAGCTATACTACAAAATTTTATTAATACAACTGCTTTTGTGTCTTTAGTGAAAATGATTCTAATCTTACTCTAAATTAATTTATGTAAAAAAATTTCTTTTGAAAAATTGCCAATTTGAGCCCTTTCTCAACTCCTAGCCCATATATTCGAGTTGTATACATGTAATAGAAAAGGTTCCTTAAGATTCTACTCGTAACTATTTACGGTTAGATTTACGTGTCCATGCTGAGTCGATCAAATGGTTGATTCTAGTAAAATTAACAGCTCTAGAGATTTAGTGATTCATAACGTTTTTGAGATTTGATTGATGGTTATTTTCGAATTTCTTATTTTAATTTGTCAATTTGTGTTTTCATGTATTCCCACGAACTTCTACTTTAAATCTTTCTACTATACAATTATGTAACTGAGTTTAAAATTTTCTGAATGCCTCTCGTTTCGGTAAATAGAAAAAATTATGTCAAATATCTGCTAAACCTACAATTGGATTTGAATTTTGAATAATTTGAATATTTTAATTAAAGATATAGCAGAAAAGATTGCAATATAAGCGGTTACAGTTTTTGTCTAGTTTAACATCAATCATTTCGATTAAACTATTATTTGTTTTGCAGATACAGATGCGCAATTTAACAATTATACACATGTTCGTACGTACATACGTACGGATTAACTATTCTGCAAGTTATCGTTAACTCTTTTACAAGTTATTTGTCACACGTTATTTGCCACGTTATTTTTACACTGTTATGATCGTAAAAACAGTTTCACAATATTATTATTAATGAAACGTATCATGTTTCAGATTTTTTGCTCTTTAAATTTTTTTTTAAAAAATCATTAATAGTTTGCCTTGCTGGTTCAAAACTTGATCCAATATTTTTACCATTTTTTTTGATAAGAAAGTTTCAAATGATTTGAAATAGAGGTATTTCCAATATACTATATGAATATTTAGGGCGTATGTACACGGGCAATATAGATATCTATATCTCAAAATTATGATTATGAAGCCACCTTTTGGCTTCTAACAAAAAAAAAATTCCTTACGAAATTTAGTATAAACTATACTTTGCTCAATCCCAAACCCACCCTTACCCTAACCATCCCTATAAAAAATTTTTTACAGATATATTCCGATTTTGTTCCGAGCAAGTCGAACCCATCCCGATCATATTCCGA